CACATGTTCTAATCATAGACGTCATGGGGTGACGTCATGGTGTAGTGCTTCTTTGAGTATAAGTCCCGTTTAAGTCTTTTGAATACATAATTCTATCAGAAGTTTTATCCATAACTTTTCCAATTAATTAGTTAACATATTATAAAAACGTGTTAATTCGCCGAATTTAGATATGTGTGCTGTCTTAACAAACCCGCGTAAATTATTCAACATCATTTCCTTATTTATCCCTTACGTCACTTATTATAACACGGGGAGCAAATATTATTTTTAGGAGAATTATTTTTTTTTTGTGTCTCGATGAGATCTAGATTAAAATATTACTGAGTATTTACGACTGATTCTTCCCCCAAAATTGATGACATTACCATATTTATCAGTAGATTCCGATACATCTATTTTTATTTTGAGTACTTATAAGGCATATTATTTAATACCGGTATCTGGGGAAAATTATTTTTTTTTGTTTCAGTTTTGATGTGCGTATGGCAAATTTATAAAATCACCTCATGATTATCAAAAGATTGAAAAGTGGTGGTTTCCATGGCAACCAAAACTTCCTAAAGACCATAATAAACATGATTGAAATTTTCATATAATGGTTTCATTGGCGTAAGACAGTTTATATGTTAAAATGAGATTTTTCATGGACCCTTGTAACCCCTTCCTTAAACGATAGAAAGGAGCCTGTTGTCAGTCTAGCTGTCTGTTCGTCTGTTTGTCTGTCTATGAATAACTTTTTAAAAGTGCTTCTTCTACAATTGTGGTCCGATTTCAGTTAAAATTGGTGCATAATGCAACATAATTCTGTGTACCAGTTTATGATTCACATGCAGAGAGATGTAGTTCTTATTTTTTGAAAAATCCTTATTTTAAAAAAATCATTTTTTTTTTAAATTTTGTTGTAAAGTTTCAAGTTCGAACTGCAACTTTTCTCTTTCTGTATTACAAGTATAAACCAGTAGAGCTGCAGTCTTGACAGAGATTTTTGGTTTGAACGAGGACTGGATATTGCATAATATACATGTAGGTAAAAAGTAAAACATGATGTGTTTGTTAAACACTATGCGCCCGGAGGTCACAGTCAGGGTCACAAGCTCATTGTTCTTGCAGTCATTTGGAAGAACTTATTAGTGGAGTATGCATATCAAATATGAAGTTTATATCTCTTATGCCTCAAAATTTAAGGTGCAGGTACGAAAAAGCTATGTTAGCATACAGATTATATTCAAGGTCAAAGTCATTGATATAAGAAGCATTTGAAAGAACTATATTAGTGGAGTTTGCATTCCAAATATGTAGTCTCTATCTCTCATGTTTCAAAGGTTATGGCGAAGGTACGGAAAAGCTAATTTTAACATATAGGCCACAGTTAAGGTCAAAAGGTTGTTGATATTGGTGCCATTTGAAAAAGCCTAATAAGTAAGGTATGCATACTAAATATGAAGTCCCTACCTTTCATGTTTCAAAAGTTATCGTGAAAGTTCAAAAAACTATTTTTAGCGTATAGGTCAAAGTCAAGGTCACAAGGTCATTGACCTTGGTGTCATTTGGAAGAACTTGATTAATAAAGTATGCATATCAAATATGAAGTCACTATCTTTTATGGTTGGAAATTTATGGCGAAGGTACGGAAAAGCTTGTTTTAGCATATAGGTCACAATTAAGGTCACAAGGTTGTTGATATTGATGTCATTTGAAGGAGCCTAATTAGTAAGGTATGGATACTAAATATAAAGTCCACACCTCTCTATGTTTGGAATATAGGTCAGAGTCAAGGTCACAAGGTCAATGACTTGATGCTGTTTGAAAGAAATCAATAAGTGGAGTATGCATACCAAACATTAAGTCACTATCTTTTATGGTTCAAAAGTAATTGTGAAGGTGAAAGTTTGCAAACAAAAATATATTTTAGCATATAGATCACAGTCAATGCCACAAGGTCAACAATTTTGATGTCACTGGAAAAAATTTGATCAGTGGAGTATGTGTTCCAAGCATTATGTATCTAACGTTTTTAAATTAAAAGTTTTGACGAAGGTTAAGTTTGCTGACAAAAAGCTATTTTTAGCATATAAATCACAGTCAAGGTCACAGGGTCATTGACCTTGGTGTCATTTGAATGAGCGCAATTAGTGAGGTATTTGTATGCATTATATGAAGCCATTGTTTTTTTCATGGTTCAAAAGTTATGGAAAAGGTTATACAGACAAACAGACAAATAGACAGACAGACAGGATAAAAACAATATGCGCCTCAGATCTATTGATCAGAGCGTATAAAAATTCACCATTATTATTCTTTTTTTACTTTCAATTGTCGATTCCTTTGTGTACTAGGCAGTTTTTAGAATAGTACCTCCTTTGCTTTGAATTAAGAAAAATGATTTATATTTTGAAATTCCCCAATTTTAATACAATAAAGACAGGGTTACAAAATACATGTATCACTGCCTATAAATCACGAAACTCATTTTTATCGGTCCATATTCGTAATTTTCAACTAGAATTGTTTTTGTTAAATCGACTTTTTTATGTTGGACTTTAAAGCTAATGCATTATGACGGAATCATCGCATTGTTTTCATACATTTATAACAAAGAACTCTTCAATAATGCAATAATTGGTTATTTTTCAATGGTCTGCATAGAGCACAGTTTCTGACTTGAAATACACAATTATGAAATGATAGAAATGTTTCTGAGAAAACGATTGTTGTTTTTGTTTATGTTTTTAATTAAAAAAATGATCTATCATTATGTCGCCCCGAAAGAAGTCGGGCAGACATATTGCGATTTTACGCATGTTTTTGTTGTCCAGGCTGTTTCTCGGAGATGGCTGGGACAATATTCCTGAAACTTTCCTCAAGGGACGACCACTGGTTGCAGTTGTGTTGTGTGGTCATTCAGTTTCGAAATGCCTACCGTTACCATGGAAACCTGCAAAAATCGACGAATTTTGTCTGCGAGTGTTCTCTCTGGTACCTTATTCATTCGTCATGAAACTTATTTTTTTATTTTAGTGATAAGTAATTGTTCTTGAGCGATTTGCATTTAAAATTTTTAAATAATCGGTTATTGCCATGGAAGCCAGATGAAAGTGAAAATTCTTTAATTTTGATCATGTATTGACTCTCGGGTTTTTAAGATTGAATAAGGTTGATTACTATTCAGAAACATGACCAAAAAAGAAACAGACCATAACGAGACGAACAAGAGAAAGCAGTTTATTTTTTTAATTAATAACTTTACCCTAAAAATTTCTCTGTTATCAATTCAGTAAAACAATGGTAAACTTTTATTGTCATAAAACATTAATACATCAATAAATTGAAGTGAAAAGCTGCGCAGCATTGTTAAGGCTTGAAAAAGGGGGCGGGGCCTAATTTATACGGGAAAAGTTTGCTGTGACGTCACACAAAAATATAACTTTTATGTATTTCTCATAATACCTAAAAATGAAATAATTTGCAACTTTTAACTGTATTAGCATAATAAACAATATTATAACTTATCAATGCATTAAAAAGTTGCTAGTTAAATCCCATGTTGCTAGTTATAAACAAAGCACTGATCACGATGAACTTGTAAACATGACGTCATATTGGTAAGAAATGACGTATTTCATGTGCTGTGAGAGGCAGATTGAGGTATTTTTTAATCGAGATGCCTCAGGAAATCGTAGTTTCGCAAGGGCATACACTTCATTGATCTGAACCATTTTTTGATTATAGATAAAGGATATTTTCCTTAACTTGAAAAGTACTGCTGCTTTCTTTAAATCGAAGGCGTGATTTTATAAGTACACAAAATATTTGGTAAGAGTCAAACATATTTCGTCATTGGCCTATTTACTTGAAAATTTAACTATTAAATAGTGAATTCTATTCAAAGCAGCAGCATTTTTCAGAAACTTCAAAGTATGCAGAAACAATTAATAGCTAGAATTTTTAATTTCTAATAGGGTATGCCCTTGCGATATTGAAATTTGTTAATGACCTACATTCAGTACACGAACTATGCATTCATCACGTGACTGTCCATCGATGGGACTAAACTTCATACAGTACAGAGTGGGTTATACTATGCTATTTCCAAAAGTATTAAAGTTTTGTGATAATAAAACAGCTTAATTAAAATAAATTCAGTTTTTAAAAAATCCCCCTTTTCTGCGGATATATTTTCCGTTTATTTCTCATAGTAGGCCTTAACAGCGCTGCGTGCGAAAATTCATAAGAAAGAGCACAAAATAGTTTTAAAGAATCAAATATCTATAACACTTTTCAATTGATAAAAATGTAAGCAGTTAGCCTATACAAAGAGGTGTATATTGTCTGATAAAAATAATACATTACAGATCGTTTCCCATTATATCGGTAATAAACAAATTTGAAAGGTAAGATTTGAGACACATTGAAAAAAAGTCTTACAACCTTTTTGCACAAGAGTTTTGTAATTCTTCGTTTAGTATCATACAGAAAGAAGGTTAATAAACTTTAAAAACAAATAATATATAAAAAAAATATCATACAAATAGATAAAAAAAGAAAGCGAAGTAAAAAAAATGGGAAAAGAAAACAAACACACATAAAAAAACCTTAATTGTCATAAAACATTATACATCAATAAATTGAAGTGAAAAGCTGCAAAAATTCAAAAGAAAGAAAACAAAATAGTTTTAAAGAATCAAATATCTATAACACTCTTCAGTTGATAAAAATATAAGCAGCTAGCCTATACAAAGAGGTGTATATTGTCTGATAAAAATAATACATTACGGATCATTATCCATTATATCGGTAATAAACAAATTTGAAAGGTAAGATTTGAGACGCATTGAAAAATGTCTTACAACCTTTTTGCACAAGAGTTTTGTTATTCTTTGTTTAGTGTCACACATAAAGAAGGTTAATAAACATTAAAAACAAATAATATATAAAAAAAAAATATCATACAAAGAGATGAAAAAAGAAAACGAAGTAAAAAAAGGGGAAAAGAAAACAAACACACATCAAAAAATTAGTTCACTGTGGTTATCGGTAAGTCAAATCGACATTCTTTTTTCGCCGTTTGCTGTTCATAACTTCTGTTGTCAATACTTGGAAAAAGTCAACATCTTTGTCAGAGTGCTGAAAACCATTGGTAATTGGGCTTCGGTTGTACAGCCATCAAACACAATACTTTGCACGCGTTTGCAGACGGCTGCAAGAACCACATGGATGTCTTCTCTGATAATATAAATGTATGGATTATTCTAATTTCCATCTTATTCATTACTCATTCATCATTAATACATGAACATTTTTTTTCATCTAATATCAGAATCATTCTAAAAAAGAAATTATGTACGTAATATACTGTAGCCTAACTGAAAGTTTAAGGGAGGCTGCTTATTACATATGTAGGACTCCAAAGTGCAATGGTGACGCCGAAGTCTGTTGGTATTGCTAAACCCCTATGGTCTGTACCAAACCCCGATGACTCGCCGTCTTTACGGACGCCAAAGTCCGATGTTCACGCCAAAGTCCGAATGCTCGTTTCCTAGCATTTTGCTAAAGTGCAATGGTCTGATACTCCAAAGAGAAATGGTGTGGAGGAACGTTTAATGTTGATGACGTCACAATATTTATGACGTCTGACGTCATGCCTTTGTCCTCCATTCAAAATCCTGTGAATAAGATTTTGTTTCGTGTAAACAATTTTACTGATTTTGCTTATTGTTTTCACCAAGCAGAGACATTAATGAGGGTAAGTTTTCTCACTCCACTCGACTAATAAGTGTAGTCTCTGAACACTTCTGGATTGATAATGTGTTTGATCAAACCCACCCTAGAGATTTAGAGGTTAGCCTAGTCCTGGAAAGATTTGGAATAGTTCAGATCTATCTCAAGATATTTAGGTTATAGTTACTGAGTATTGTGCATTTTTCGACTGTATAAGGTTAATCTCGTACTTATATCCAAAATTCGAGGATTAATATTCGCATGTAATATTTATTTCTATTTTTTTTAAAAATCTAGCATTGCAATGGCGCGACATTGCATTTTTGCGCAGTAGTACTATGACGTCATCAACGTATAATTGCTTTCTTTACCTTCAGACTTTGGCGTGAAAAACCATAGAGGTTGGTGCAAACCAACAGACTTGGGCGTGAGCATCACACTTTGGAGTACATTTATATCATATATCATAATAAAATATACCTTAATATTTTCTATCATGTACGTATCTGAACTGAAAACCAGAATGATTCATGTGAAAAAAAAAATTAAATATAAGTTTTACTTAGGAAAAACCTCGCTAAGTTTATTTTATGTCACGGTTTTAGACATAGTTTAGTAGTTCTTTGTCAGATGAAACGATTGTGCCATACATACATATGATACTACTTAACTCAAAACTTAAGCAGGCTTTATTTTACGACCACCTGGTGTTAGAGTAGAAAACGAATAATATGCTGTCATAGGCACCTTTTTGTTTTAAGGAAGCGAATATTAATTGGCATCAAACGCCTCTCCTGGCTGGTGTATTGACTTTGGAAGACATGATCATGTTATTTAACATATTTTTTTTCTAGTATAGTAGCACGAAAGTATAATGAGTCTAGGAAATTAGGGATAGGGAGGCAACAAACAGTAGTCAATATCAAAGTCAATAAAAAAAATTAAAATAGAAGCAAAACAAACGTGGACCTCAAAAAGATCTGATTTGGATCGGGTGCCTGAGTAAGCATCCCTTGCCGACTTGTCCCTCCCACCGCGTGCTCCTTGACATGATCGGGAAATAACGGAAAAAGCGTCGTCAATTCAGTGTATCAATAATGGTCTAACAATAAGTATGGAAAACTTCAGTCAGCATTTGACTCAATAATAAAACTGTATTTACTAACAAGGTCATTGTCTCGACCATAAAACTTACGAAATGATGACTTTAAACGAGACTGCTGACATTCTTGTTTTATCAACTTTTTGTCAAACGTTTACCACGTATGAAAAATTGTTCATACATAGAGCAAGCTCTTGCATGTCTAATCAGCTGAGATATATAAACTTCGTGATGCAGGTTACGAAGGTATATTGCTACATATCCTACTTCTTTTCTTAATAGACTGACCTCCGTTGATGCTTAAACATTAAACATTCAAATGAATTTCTTATTCAATTAATAAGCTTTTTTTTTTTTTTTTTGCTTTGAAGCATTATAAGGTAAACAAAGACAATATTTTCATTAATTGTTACTCATTATTGAAACAGCAATACATACGTAGTATGAGCTGGAAGGTACTTGGTTAGCTCATTTATATAATAGCTTCCTTTTTTGTAGATACCAACTGAAACTGTTCCCTGGTAGGCTGCGAAACCGAGTAAAACATCCGCATGTTTTGCTATTCTGGAGAAATCCTGGGAATAAATTTAAATTAATCATATTTTGCTTTCTCTTTTCCAAATGAAGTCACCAAAAGCCTAAGAATTTTTTGATTTGTTTGATTTTATATTGATATTTAATCATTTTTTCTCACCTGTGTTACATCAAACTTGATTTTCCTCCCAGATGTGTCTTCCTGGAAAGCTTCATAAAATAATGAAAAAAATATATAATCATCGTTTATTTTTATCTAAAAAACAAACAAACAAAGAAACAATAAGAAAGGAATCAAGAATATAGGAATTATTGTGAAAAACTAAAGAAAGAAATATGGTTCAAGTCTAATTCTTCTATACAAAAAATCATTTTTTGGCATCGATCTAAGACATCTCTTTAATAAGTATTGGGCGCATGATGACATAAACTTGTTGCTCTACATGATTTTATGCATTACTAAAAGCAATTCTTATTTTTGTCAATGATTGAAATAATTTATTCAAACAATTTAAACATATTTTTGATTAACGCAAAGTGTAAGCACTAAGTAGGTGCTTTATGCACTTTTCATTTCATATAAGAGATTTGATTGCAGCATTAATAAAAATTGAATATTACTCCTAAATAATGGGATACACAGAGGTCGCAGGAAGATCAGAAAATATATAAAATCTTTAATTTTAATACCCTTTTTCGTCGATTTTAGAGCAGTTTTAATTAAAAAAATAATATAGAGAATTTGCCTATTTACTTCATAGATGCATTTTATGCATTAAAGTCTCAGATGGGCAAGTTTTTTTCCTTATGATTTCCGAGTTGAAAAGATTCTCCAATTTGAAGAAATTGAATCTGTACCCTCGTGTGTCCTTTGTGTAAATTCTGAATTAATATTATGGCCAATTTTAAAATCAGCATCATTTTAAAGTCTGAAAAACAAACTGTTACAATTTTAATTATTTGCGCTAGTTTTTACATCATATAAGGGGCTAGATTCGTCAACTACTATTCCGAGTCCTTTATTGGCCTGTTTAAAGAACACATTTCTAGATTTTTTTAACCAAATGATATAGGAACTACATAGTGCATAAATATTTTAAAAGAAACCCTATTTAAAGGAGTTTATCTATAAAATCAATTTCGGAGAATTGTACGCTTAGTAAACTGTTAAATAGAATTTACCCTTGCAGAAGAGCATATAAATTTTGAAACTCATTTTTACTTACATACCATTTGTTACGCACGCACTCCAACAATTGTTAGAAAATCATTGTTACTATCATTGATAAGGCTTAATATGAAGAAATCAATAGAATATAGACGCGCAAAAAAGGGCACTTTTTTAAAACAGAATTAATTTTTATAAATCCGTTTTATTATTGCATAACTTAATAGTTATTGAAATAACATATGTTATACAGTACTCTGTACTGAATTATGTTTGGTCTCATCAATAGACAGTTGGATGATCCATGCCTCGTATGTGTACTGAATGTAGGTCATAAACAAAGTTCAATATTGCAGGGGCATACCTTAGTTGAAATTTAAAATTTAAGTAACCATTTGTTTCTTCATACTTTGTACTGTCTAGAAAATCCTGGTGCTTAAAATAGAGTTCTTAATAAGTCACACTCTCGATTTAAAGAACGCAACAACAAGTAAAGGAAAACATCGTTTATTTATATTTAAAAGAAAATGCTAACGTAAGTGAATGCCCTTGCCAAAAGGTGATTTAATAAGCTACCTTGATGTTAAACATGCCATACCTGTACACATAAACACAGTAAAATTATTTACATACATTCCCTCGCTAATCATTGAATTATCGCACAAAACAAAGGTTTTACATTGGTATTGATTGCCTATCTAAAATCTGTAGATAATATTCTGTTTAATAATAAAATGCATTTTTCACTGTGAAAAATATACTTGATCTGTCTTTCACAAAACATTAAATACATCATCATACCAAAGTAGCGTCATGTCAACAAGTTTCCTGCGATCAGTGATTTGTTTATACAGTACACTGTTAAATATCTGGGATTTTACTAGATTCTATTTTTCAATGCATTAATAAGTGTTGATGTTCCTTATTAAGCTAATTCAGTTTAAAACTGCAACGCATTTGATTTCCCATTATTATGGGGAATAATTTTATTTTTGTGATGTTACAGTAAACATATTCCGTATAAATTAGGCCCCGTACCCTTTTTCAAGCCCTAGAAATGCTGTGTTCTTTTAAGAGAAATTTGATTTTATTTTTATATTGCTCTTGGATATATTATTATAATTCTACGCATTACTAAAAAAGTAATGAATATTAAATTGTCGAATTTTTTTTTACGTTAATTATCACGAGGTTCAAAAACAGCAATAAATGATGATGCGATAGGTCGTTATAGGTCGTTAATCATTAAACAGTGATCAAAAAGTGATCATTATGAATTATGATTGATTTCTGACTTTTAATGAAATGCTTTTCCGATACATCACAGCTATGCATTTATCCTACTTCAAATCTACCTTGCAGCATTGAAACCAATACGTCAACACTGATCTTGAAACGTTATTAATGACTTAAAGAGAAAACCTATTATTGACAAATGTACAACCCGGTATTTATTTTATCTATACAATAAGAACATACAGCAAGCTATATCTCGTGATCTCAAGAGAAATATTTCTTAAATTCTATATTAAAAGACTGATGTGAGGTCGAAACAATAAATTGACGCATGCAAAAGCAAAATATATATATATAAATGTCGTTTTGGTGGTTTGAATAGCAATATATTTCTCTCGTGTGTTAAATACCGAACATACATGTTTGACGTCATAGCTGTTCATCATCATTTGCAGATTTGATGTGAAAATGGCGAGAATTTATGTTAACGAAGGAAAGAAATATTATTTGAAAGCATTTAACACAAATATCATGTAATATAAGTCGTATATTACTTGTCTGAAGGTAGTCTCCCTGGCATGCGTCGATGAAAAAAAGCTTTGGTTTACCCATCAGCTTACGGCTAATTTCAGTATCCTCTGATGCCAGGGTATCAACCATTCGTTTGATCCAAAGAGCAGCTTTATCTTGTCCAAGTACGACTGACTGCTGTCCATGTGATGAGACGCAACAAGCTAACAGTTTGCCTACATCGTTGGTTGACTTAACATCCTCTTTGAGAGAATTTACCATTTCTCTTGCACTGTGATTTGCATGCCATATGACATTAAAGTCAAGAAGTTCGAACATTTTCCACAGCATAACTAACATGAAAGAAAAATTATAAAAAAAAAAATAGATGTAAAGTGAATTTTATAAACATTGTGCTGGAAATAAGAAAAAAAAATATATTTTTTTTTTATTTCCCTACACATGAAAGACTTTTAAATTATATCATATGCATAGTAGTGAATCAACAATCAACAAGTGTTAGGACTAAAAGAGACAGAGAGATTTAAAGTGAATGTAAAGTATTTTCAGTCTTGGAGGTTTTTTTTTTTAACTTTGTGATCGATCAGGCTATGGTATTAAAAACCAGAATTATTCTTTTTAAAAATCAGATTAAGGAAATTGTTTCCAATTGTTTATTAACATCCCTCTGCAGCAGTATCAATAAGGACATTTTAGTCTATTAACTATTTATTGTTTTGGGTTTAGAATCATATTTATGCTATGAAGATAACTTTATTGTTTTACAACAAAATTCAATATACCGTTTTGTTGGAAAACATGTCTTATCATTGTCCCCCGCTTTTGCAAAATCAAGGGGACATTAAATTTCATTCTTCTGGCTGTCAGTCAGTCAGTCTGTCTGTCTGTCCCTCCCTCATAAAAACTTTAACCTTGCCCATAACTTTTGATTGAGTGGAGCTATGACTATTATATCTCACATGTGTATTACTTGTGACAAGACTTTTCCTTGGGTACCACCAAATTTGACCTTTTGACCTTGAGCTTAGAGTTTGACACACTTATACACAATTTCTTTTTTATTTTGACAATAACTTTTGATCGGTAGATACAAGGGCTATTTCACATATGTATGTTTTGTGAACTACCTTTCATTTGATATCAACAACTTTGACCTTTTGACCTTGGAGATTCCCGTACTTATGAAAAAACTTATAACTTTAAAACGGTTAGGGCTAGGGCTTTCATACTTCAAATATGTAATCCTTGTGAGAAGTCTTTTTAAGGGATAACAAGAACTTTGACCTTCTGACCTTGGAGTTTCACCCACTTTTTAAAAACTTTAACCTTTCGAAGGGTTAGGGCTACAATGTGTAGGATTTTCATACTTCAGATATTAAATTCTTGCAAAAAGTCCTTTCTTTCGATATCAAGCACTTACACTCTTTGACCTTGGAGTTTGACATACTTTTTAAAAACGTTAACCTTGACCATTACTTTTTAATGGTAAGGGATAGGGCTTCCATATTTCACTGAAGTAATCCTTGTGAGAAATCTTTCATTGGATACCAAGAACTTTGACCTTTTACCTTGACCTTGGATTTTGACATACTTTTTAAAATTTGGGTACCGATATATATAATTTGCTTTTAAGAAAAGTTTAGTTTTCGCTTTTTTGCGACACGTGGTCCTCAATGTCTCGCATTCTGTTTCTTTTAACTTTTGATTGACAATTGATATATGTAGGTCTTTCATATTTAAAATGTGCATTGCCTATGGCAAGATATTTCCGAGCAAGCTATGATTTCTGACTCCTTGACCTTGACCTTCACGATTGATCTTATTTTTAAAAAATCAACTCTGGGGATAATTTCTAAATGACATATGCAAGGGCGTCCATAATTAACATCTCACCCAAAAAGACACTGAAAGCGGGGGACCACAAATATTTGAATTTGCTTGTTTATTATTTTAATGCCTCACAGGTAAGATATATGGGAACACTAATCGTATATCAGGACCAATAAATATAGTGCTAAGATAGGTGCAGCCGAAGGCTGTATATAATATAATTATACGATCGCCTGAGAGATCGACAAAATCAAAAATAAAAGAAGCCACAAATTGCGAAATTGACCACAAATTAATGACCCTTGATATGTATTTGGTTTTTCAGACGAGAATTAAAAGATTTCATAAAATCCTGTACTTGTTAAGGTATTAATACTCAATCTTGCGTTGCTTAGGAATGTGGTCACATGATCAATTTTTGACATTATCTTATAAGTATTCATGAGCTGCGCCACGTGTGTTTTGATGTAGGCCTAATGAAGAATTGCCTGATAGGACACAAAGTGCAATGCTTTTAAAATAGCGAAATTTTTGTGAGAAATACATGGATTTAACAAATGTTAGCCAATTACTAGTCATTGATTGATTGAATTGTGCATCATCATCGATTTGAAAGGAAAAAAAAAGATATTCTGAATATGGATATTAGGTAGTCAAAATATTGAGCTGTAGTAAAGTTGTTTTTAAAATAACTTGCCTAAACTTAGAATAAATTACATGAATTTCCCCAAATACAGAAAGACTTTTAGAGCGAATTTATTTAATTACCCTAATTTTAAAACCTATATTATCTAACCCTAAACACTCAGTTGAATGCCTTTTGTTGAAGCGAGTGAGGCGGTTTGTTTACATTCTACATAACAACGCCAAAGGGAAATAAATGCATATGTGCAGTTGCGCGATTCTTGGATCTGGCATATAGAAACTTCCAGATATATGAAATAAATAATATTGCAGCACATTTCGGACTTCGTCCCCTGTACCACTCATCGAACGGTCTCTGCCTGAGTTTGACCGATGTCAACCACTCGGGGTGAGACAAGGGCTGAGATTAAAAATTGCATGGTATTTTATATTTCTAATCATAAATAATGATCCAAGCTATCAAACACTACAACTTCTGAATACCTCAATTAAGATACTTACTTCCATCCTCCCATACAAATGGAAGGTCAGAAAGTGTGCCGTGAAAATCATTTGTCATGATGATGGCTAGACCTATGAAGGATTGATTTTTAATTAATTTATATAGATGTTTAAGAATCGATTTGGTTTAAAAAAATGTTACATTTATAAATAATTACATGTAAAAACTAATAAATATACCCTCAAATACTCGATTTAAAATTTTGGAAAAAAAATTAAGACTGTTGAAATACACGATAAAACATTGAATACTAAGTCTTATTTACTTTAACTTACCTTTGTCGCTAAAATGCCGTGAATCATGAATTTATAAAATGTCTTTTTCACTTTATACGCACTTTTATAGAATAAATGATCTTTAAAAAACTAAACTGTTCATCCTTAAAGCAATAAAAGAATTACCTCGCTTTTTGTCACCAGCAGGACTGACATCGTATCTGTCCATTCCTCCAGACGCGGATTCTGAAATGGTCAAGATATATTAAATAATTACATCGATTTCTTATCATTTAATGATACATTAAGATTGAAGTACAGAAGGATAACCTCTTTATATGTCATTTAACAGACGTTCATTGATATCTTTTCATCAACCTAGCCCAAAAGTACTTGTAATTATCTTATGTATAAGAAAAGGGGTATTCTTTTCTTTTTAATGCACAAAAACTGTAATAGAAATGTTTCATAACTGCTCCAATTTTTTTTAAGAAAGGTCGCATTTGCGACAAAATTTTTATTTTTTACAACAGGAAGGTGTACTTCATGCCAAATAAGGAGATTGGAAAGGTATATCTGTGTTCTATTCACACACTTTTTCTTAATATATGTATGATTTATTAAAGACTGATTACTGTACGTAACATAACCTTATAATTATCAACAAGATATCATAAGCATATTATTATGGATAATTGAAATTGGACTCAATCTGAAAGAAAGTGCAAATTTAAGACTTACTTTTGCTCTCTGATTCTGTATAAAATAGAAAAAATAACTTATTTAAATAATATGCAATATAACAGATAAGATAGATTTATCTGGCTACTTTTATATTGTTAAACCCCTACTAAACAGTCCCTACATAATTTCTTACTTTAAAAAGACAAGAAGTTCGACTGCTTTAATTTCCCCTGTCGGTCCAGGAACTGTTAAAATTCAGTGATGAAAAAAAAAAAAAAAACTCTTGCCTGCCGACGTCACATGATTCTAAACTGAGATACCTTTTCATTCGGTAAAGGAGTTTAAAGCTGAATACTTGTCATAAATAGGCACTGTCAGAGGGGTATATAAACCGTTCGATTTCGTTACATCCAATTACATACTCGAAACTCGTGGCCGACATGTAGTGCTCCTTTCGTGGTCCTTGGTTTTTTGCTTTTATTCCTTTTTTATGAGCATTTTCTTTTTATAAATAATGTATTGACCTGTATTTTTCACGATACTTTTGTCCTGTTTTAGAAAAAAAAAGTTTAATTTGATAATTTCATCGCGATCGAGTAGCACGGCTGTGTAAGTTGTACGTCTACACTCGTCAGTTCACTATAGAAAAATACATTGAACTGATAAGCGATCTGCTCCTTATATATGGGTTGTAGGGAGAGCGTTGAAGAACGGGAAATAAAGCCAACAATGCCTTTTTACGAGTAGTGTTCAGCTTTGACAAAACAGTTGTTGACAGGAGTCTCGGGAAAAGGTCGACCAGTTGGACCGGGATGCAAACTGTTGCCCGCATTCTACTGCCTTTGGGCAACGGTATACACTTATTTCATGGCTACGATGGAAACAGTCAGACTGTTGTCCCGAAGGTTATGGGGAAGAACTATTATCGAGGGACAACAGTTTGACTGTTTCCCGAGTTGACTTGCATTTATATTTCTTGTGTTATCATGCCTGCCCTAATAAATGTTGTTGTATATATAAATTGTTTGTTAAAAAAATTGATATGACTTAAAGGTTTAAATATAACACATAATTCAATATTAAATAGCTGTAAAGTATGGGAAATAAATTATGACGTCGTGATGGTTTAGTTCAGCCATGCAACAGTTCATTCTGTGACCGGGATAACAGTTTTGAGGGTTGCATGTGAAAAACAAAAATGAATCAGGAAACAGTTCAAAATGCCTGATTAGGTAATAACATATGCTGCTAAAGTGCTGATGGCTCTCCTATCGCAAAAAAAAAGATATTCTACACTATTGGGTGAAATCTTAGCATTTCCTTCAATTTTGTGCATATGATCAAAAAAAAAAAATCATTAATTCAGATTAAGCATACTATTCACTTTTCAAAGACTATAGAAGAACTTTGGATATAAAAAAAAATATGTTTGAAAACATGCAGCGTATTGTTGAACTTTTTATAACGTACGACAGAGGAAAGGTGATCGGGAAGTAAAAACACTGTTTGCTTTCATTAAACGACGATGTTGTAGAAATATTTTAGATGACCTTGTTCATTATCTTTATTTTTACATGCGCGGGTTTGTTAAGGCAACACACGGATCAGAATTCGTCGAATTAACACTTTTTTTATAACATGTAATACTGATAAATCGAAAATGTCATGGATAAAACTTTTGTTATCATTATGCATTCTTCAGACTTCAATGGGACTTAAACTACCGGAATCACTATCCACGACGTCACAACATGACGTCTATAATTAGAAAATATGCTGTAATGAAAATGTGAAAAGTTCAACACTACCCCGTGAAAAGTGCTGCCATAATCCTACTGTCCTTTCACAGAAATATTTATTCAACACTTTTGGACGAAACCTTCCCGAAAATTTTATATTTTGTTCATAAGATCGAAAAATGCATCAATCCTTTTTAACCATACGATTCTAGCAGCACTTTCCAAAAACAATAGAATAATAACTTTAGATAGAAACAAATATTAAGTTTCTAAGTGTACGGTGTAGTTTTGAACTTTTGCATACATTTTGTAAGGTCTGTTTTTATTGTACGAAGAAATTGTAGAATTATAACAGCATATCTTATTCATAAGCTTTGTCCCCACATGAATCACACATGATATTCATATTCTGAATTCTTTTAAGCTCCGATTTTTTTTTTTTTTTTTTTTTTTTTGTTTACATGAATTTTCGTTCCGTTTCACTTCCACTCTTCCAACTGATCAACAGTTATGACGTCACGGGTTTAGTATTTAACCCCTGTAATAAATACATGTACATAGACCTAGAAACAAGATTCCGTTTATATTATGCCTTTGTATATTTTGATTATTTTTTTTTGACATCAGATCAATCTTAGATATCGATTTTAAGAATTTGTTATCTCTAAAGTTCATGTCATATAGCTTACTTTGACGTCATATCATATAGGCAAGTAGAATATTTGGTTGTAACCTTAACATACCTGCGTGAATCACACATGGTTGTCAAGCTATGTAATTTAAAACATATTTCTTTTGTTTATTTACATGAAGTCTCGTTAAGCTTCACATTCACACTATAAATTAGAAATTCATACATGTATCATTAGATAAGACGTCATGGGTTTGGTTTTTAACACCCGTAACAAATACATAGCTATTTATACACGTACCACTCAGAACAGATATGATTGTTTCTATATTAAACTTTTGCATGTTTAAGTTCATCGCTATGATCTTAAATCAATCTTTAAAAATATAAATTTTAAGAAATAATTATCTCTTAAGTGTATGTCATACAGATTACTATGAAGTAATACTGTACAGACAAGTGGACTATTTGCAAGTAACCTTAGCTTACTGGCGTAGACGCTCTCTGCAATATTTATTTCTGATATCAAGTCATTTTAACGATACACGAGGGTTGTCCCAAAATTTCGTAGACAAGCAGCGTTTTTCAGTTAATTGACGTCACTGAGAAATGAAACTTTCAGAAATCAAAGAACACATAATTTTTAATAAAAACATATTAAAATATTAAATATTTTATGAGTTAAATTGATGTAGTGAAGATATCTTGTATCAAAAAATTGGGAGGCGGCGCAATGTCAAAAAAGACAAAATAGAATAATCATAATGAATTTATAATTCTCAAGTATATATGTTTCAAAATAAATTTTCGGGAAAAAATTACATAAGAATACTTGAAAAAAATTTCTTCTATTTACCCACAAAATTTCATGATTATGACGTAATTTTGGGAGGTTTTATGACGTTTTGTGCGACGGTTCGGCGTGTTCGATTTGACAAGAAATAGCGACGTCAACGTCAGGGGCGGCGCATCGGGAAGTTATAAAATTCTGCTTACAGCTGGGATTGACGCCTACGGAGACGCATAAAAAGCTTAAGTTAACAGAAACACACAGAAATGTATCTCGTGCGTTGGTGTTTAAATGGCACAAGAGATACTCAGACGAATAAGAGGATACTATGACAGAAAACAGAGGCCGACAGAAAGAAATTAGTGAAAAAGTTGTTGAAAATCTGAACGACATAATTCCTCAGGACAGACGGCGAACCGTTAGAGAAATAGAGGACATGCTTGGAATCAGTAAATCATCTGTTCATCGAATACTTTCGGAAAAGTTAGGGATGCAGAGGGTATGTGCACGCTGGGTACCACGGATCCTGAAATATGAAGAGAAACAAAAGAGAATTTCGTGTTCCCGGGAATTCCTACGGCGACACAGATCAGGTCTACAAAATTTTTTGGATAGAATAATAACAACAGATGAAACATGGCTTCATTACTATGATCCCGAGGGAAAGAGAGATTCTAGTGTATGGAAAACATCTGGAACACCACCACCAAAGAAGGCAAAGGTTTCCAAATCTGCCGGTAAACACATGTTCATCATGTTTATGGACAGACATGGCATGATTTTTACACATGCTGTCCCTACAGGTCAGACGGTAAATGCAGCTTACTATTCCAAGGTTGTGCGACGGGACCTTTTACATGCATTGAGGAAAAAGATGGCTGCTTTAGCCCAAAACAAGGAAAATATTATTTTCCATCAGGATAATGCGCCAAGCAACACAGCTGATCAAACAAAGTTGGAATTTGACTTGCTTGGGTCTGACAGAATCAGTCACCCACCATACAGCCCAGACTTGGCACCGATGGATTTTGCGCTTTTCCCTTACTTAAAGTCTGAGCTGAGAGGCCACCGATTCTTAGACCTGAATGAGCTGATGAAAGAAACCTTAAGGATCCTCGCTGGACTGGATCGGACATGGTTCAACAATATGTTTGAGAAGTGGATATACAAGCATAAGAAATGTATTGAACATAATGGTGAATATTTTGAGAAAGAATAAGAAATCGGCGGTGTGATGGTATAACTTCTAGCATAAGAGCTCCAGAAAACAATGTTTTTTTTGTTCTTTTTCTCTCGTTTTTGTAATTTCTTTTCAAATTATATGTAATAGCTTCGTATATTAATCTTTATAATTTTACTGCAAATGCATATGACGCATAGTGGCTTGAAAGTTTTT